CCCTCTGTGTAAAGAAGAGCCTCCTGTCCTGACTGGAGGAGCTCACCCAGCTGTGTCTGGAGAGGAGCCAGGGTATCGGCTTCAGCAACAGGGCTGGGCAGCTAGTTCCCCACCCCCACCACCCTATGTGTACAGAAGAGCCTCCTGTTCTCAGTTTTAATTGCCATTCCCCTTCAGTTTCCGCTGGTGTTGCAGTGTTTGCCCTCTGACAGATTTGGAACAGCTTTACCCGTCCCCCATGTGATCGTCTGTGCTCAGGACGTGAACTCACATGGTAAACAGGACAGGCGATCCGCAGAGTAAGAGGTGTTCACCCGACATCTACTTATAGCCACAGGGGCGTGTTGTAGTATGGCCTGTACTGCCCCATCCACAACTGCCCCACCACCCTCATCTCTGTCCACTCCTTCTGCCCCTGCTGTCAACGGTGGTCAACTACTCTTCCCCCTGGTGCAGATACCCCCTCCTGTTCCCTGCTCTCTGCTGCCCCCCCCCCCCGAGGCTGGGTGCTGCACAGTCTCTCTCCCTGCCCATGAGCGCCTCCTACAGACGGCCCAGGGCAACACCTCTGTGCTGAGCACGCACGCACGCACGCACGCACGCACGCACGCACGCACACACACGCGGGGCTGTAAGTTCCAATCCTGGCTCAGACCCTGTAGTTCTACTCTTGATCAAGGTCGGGGTACGTCATGTGCTGTTCCAGTGAAATACACAGTGGTATTAATGAGTGCAACTGGAAGCTGCTTTGGATACACGTGTGAGCCCACTAATCTAGTAATAGCAACCAGCAGCTGTTTTACGTCACAAAGGAAAAGAAGCTGTTGGAGAATTCATGTATGTGCTTTTATTTAAAAATAAAAGGGAAATTCAACATTCAGAGCTTCGAATTGCTTCATTGCCACAGTGGAACATATAATCAAGCCCACAGAACGTGCCACACATATGCATTGCATATATACACATAACATTTGATTATACTATGTACAGTCACAGTGTGCAGCCTTGGGTAAATCCTGTTTGGACAACGGAATGATTGACAAACACGTGTTTCTCTTTCGGACAGATGCTTTTTAGCAGCTGGGTTTTTGAGAAATTCATCACCGATTTCTTCCTGTCAGTGGGAGTGTTGGTGCTCGTGTGCTGCTGGCTGTGGATCTCTCTCTCTCTCTGGCCAGCAGGGGGCCCCGCTGAGCAGAATCAGGCTGTGGGTGCCTGCTGTGATTGTTGTGGAGGAGGGGAGGGTGGACGTGTTAGAAACAGGACAACTGTTCTGAGGGTTCACCGACAGATCCATCCCAGAGGAGGACTGCTCCAGGATCACAGTTCAAAAGGACCCAGAACACAAGTGGAAACTTGTGGAACCAGGAAACTGGTCTTCACACAAAGAGTTGAGGGAGGCTGGGACAAACCACCCGACCACAGAGTAGAAGCACATTCTGTGACTGTCCTGTATCAGTGCTATGATGTTCGGTGCAACTTGTTTTATGTACTTTTGTAAATGTCCTTACAATCTTTGGGAAGTGGTCTGTTTTTGTTTGCAAGTGTTCTTCTCTTCATTATAACTGTTTTATCATCACTATTAATTATTCAGGAATTATTATTATTAACTATTCTTATGTTCTTTGCAGCACCACTCGTGTTCTTTATGGCCTTCCTTAGGGTCGTCATGACATCATGACATCATGTCTTCGGTTCTTGTACGTTTGGTGTGGACATTCTTATCTTCTTAAGTGTCTGTACTTGTGTTCTTATATTATATTATTTAGTCACTG